GTCGTTTTGCGTTGCTCAAATGCTAACCGATTCGTCGTGGATGTGTCTGTGGATGTTACATCTCCCTACCCAATGGGTAGGTCTGTAGGGATGTTTTTTTAGTTTGAAAATTTTCTTTATATATAAAAAAGGTCTTTCATTTGAGTGTTTCACTTATCGTCCTGGGACGTCTACCTTGGTAGATGTCCGGACTGGCTTCAATTTATCCTGTGATAAGTCTTGCTTGACACTCAGAGACAAAGCGTAGCATTTTCTCATCTCGAAGTCAAAACCACACGAAACAAGATAGACAATCATCCTCCATATCAAACACAACTCAAGCTCTTACACTTACGAGTGACATCCGGTGCCTTTGCCCCGCCAGACACACAATATGTCTTGGCAGCAACCACGGCAACGTGGGAACGAGGTAAACAATGGAAATGAGTTGAAAATTCCCGCGCCTTTTTCCCATCACCAACCTCCCTCACCATCAAAGAAAAACCTTCCCCGCCACCCTCAACTCTCCACTCTTTGAAACACCCCCCGTTCAATCCTTTGGGGTGTTATATATCCTACCCATCCTCTCCCCGCCCGTCCTCGGTTCCATCAATCCCCCCCCCTCCGCCGACACACGCGAACCACTGCACGCGTCTTTCCATCCACTCCAATCACCATGGCAAAACGGCGCCAATCCGCGCGCAAAACCCGCGTCTCGAGTAAAAAAGCGCCTGCTGCTGCGTCCTCCTCCACGCGTACACCGACCCGCGGCACCGCAAAATCAGGAGCTCAAGCACAAGGCATCACCCCCCCCCCTCCTCTCTCAAAGCGGGTTTGCTAACGTGTGTGGGAGGGTATAGCCGGCGACCCAGCACCAACCCGTAAAAAGAGGCGCATGCGCGCCGGAAACGTCGCACTCCGCGAAATCAGACATTTCCAGAAATCGACGGATCTGTTGATTCAGAAGCTTCCGTTTGTTCGCTTGGTATTCTACCCCCCTCCTCTTGTGTGTATTGGGTGGGTTGTTGATGGGGGGGATATAGGTTAGGGAAGTGGCAGCAAGTTATACGGATGGAGCACATTTAGGGTTCGGGTTAAATACGGCTGCGAATGGAGGGGTGCATAGGTTTCAGAGTACGGCGTTGGCGGCGTTACAGGAGGCTGCAGAGGCGTATATGGTGCATTTGTTTGAGGATGCGAATTTGCTTGCGATTCATGCGAAGAGGGTTACGATTATGCAGAAGGATATTCAGTTGGCGAGACGGATTAGAGGGGCTTGGGGTGGGCTTGGGTAGGTGTGGATGGGAGGATGTCCTGCTGCTGCTGGTTTGGGGGGGGATTCTTTTTGGCGTTGTTTGAAGTTTTTGGTAAGACGCGTTTTCTTTTTTCGGTTGAGTTTTTGATTCCCGGAAGGTTGCTAAGGTACTCTATATGTCATCTCTGTATGTTGTGGTGGTGTTTATGGATTTTTTTATCTCCCTTTTGGTGTTTTTTTTATCGTTTTTGGTTCTTGATGAAGGAAACATATGTAAGAGGTAAATGTATTGTATTGTAGTAACTGTATTGTGACCTAGTGCCATTTTATGCAATTGACAAGAGAATATTAAGTGGGTAGATGCCAGTCGACCTCATACTTATTTTCAAGGAAGGGTCTGGGAACCATCCATAGCTCAAGAAAACATTGTTAACAAAAGACCCAAGGTTAACTAAAGGCATCCATCATCTCTATGTGCGTACAAAACAATCAGACAAAGTCAGCTACTAAGATCACCTACAGAAAGAATGAAGAACCCAGTCCCAGAAGCCCCAGCCCAGACACCATATATCCCCAATGTAAAAGACAGAAAAGAAAGAAACAAAGAAATTCCGTAAACCCCCCAAATGCAAATGAAAAAAAAAAACTATCATATGATATATCTATCGTACACACCCACTCATTACTGCATCATCCCATCATGCACATACCCGCCATACCCTCCCGTCGACTCCATCCCCATCCCCATCTCCGCCGCCGCCGCAGATTCGGCATTACCACCACTACCCTCCGCCGGGGTCATAGCCTGTAGCTGCTCTGGTGATATATGCCTAGTTAAATTCCTAACCACCTCCTTCCTAGCGACTTCATTCATCTGCCTCTGTCTACTCTCTTCAATATCGTTTCCCTTTCTTCCAAGACAATCCGCATACATCTGACCACCCATATACGTCCATAACGTATCCCTCCCCTTCTTTGCATTCTGCATAGCCGCCTTCGCACTCTTTTCTGCTTGCTCGCTTACCACGCCTGCAAAGAACCGGTGACACATGAAGTTGAGAACGATGAAGGTGAGTTGGACGTTTCCTGCGGCGGCTGCGGTGCGGAGGGCGTGGGAGAGGTAGTTTTTGGTTTTGACGAGTTCCCCACGTTCGGTGGATTTTACGGTTATGAATGCGGCTTTGAGGAGGTCGTTTTTGGTAGATGTACAGAAACGTTCGATGGATGAGAGGAGGGACGAGGCTTGAGAGGCGTCATGGAGGCGGAGGATGAGGATGCTGTTGAGTTTGGCGATTATGGAGAGTTCGTGGTCGACTGGGAGGGAGTTGAAGATTGTGTTGTAGAGGTTTAGAGCGGTGTATAGGTTGTTGGTACCGTGATGGATTACGGCTTGGAGGTACATGATTTGGTGATATAGTGGGGAGTTGGGGTCGAGAGATAGGGTGGAGGAGACTTCTTGGAGTTGGTTGAATGCCTGAGAGATTTGTTAGGGTTTCTGTTGGATTTGTCGGGGAAGGGGAAGTTACTTTTAAGGCGGCGTCCCAGTCGGTTCTCATGCAGAGGAGGAAAGCGTGGTAGAGGTACATATATGCTTTGAGTGTTTGTTTCCATGAAAGCTTCGCTTTGTTTGCTGCTAGAGAGGATTGAGTGTACCCGGGTGATATCCCTGTGAATTTAGTCAATTGGTGGAGATTAAAAGTTATCCGGTTACCTGGAAACTCACGCTCGACTGTCTTTATTCCTTCCGTCAAGAACCTTTCCGCCTTACCATTTTCCTCAACATTTTTCTGGAACTTGCATAGACCACTCAGAAAGTAACCCAATGTGAAGACATCATCCTTATTCAGCCACCGCATCTTGAGGGTTTCTGGCGGTCTTCCAGGCCGGCTGGGGTTCACGGGTAAATCAAATTCTCCGTCCTCTTTCCAATTGGTCCATCGCTCTGGTTGATCGAGCATTGCATGGAGCTTCCTTATTTTTGGGTCGCACTCTTGACATCTTCCCAACATCAGAGAACAGCAAATATCGAGAAGCTGTGTCAACACCTCCAGTTGCGGCGGAATCTCATTCCCGGCATTTTGTAGTGTGAATACCCGTGCCAACGCCCGTTGTGCTGCTTCAACACCATCCGCACCATTTCGGAATGAAACCATGCCTTCCATTAAACTTGCCAGAGACGCAACTTGCAAATCTCCTCGTTCTTTCGACATCGTATACATCCCGCGCAATGTGTTTAGAGCTGCCTGGTCATCACGTGCAGGTGATGTTTCAGCGAGCAAGGTAAATCGCAGGAACCGGAAAGAATATGTCCAGAGAGGTATGTCTAGGCTGCAAAGGATGAGTGGCTAAACCATGAACCCTGTCAGGCGGGAACCTACGTTTCTACATCTGACAGATGAGTGTTTAGCATCTTGAGCGCCGCTTTATGACTGTTTTTGAACATTATTTTTACAAGTAAGTATTGCATGCTGCATTTGAGATCGATTAGGTTATTCTGTTTCGCAACGGCGCCCGGTTAGATTGCTGAAGCCAGGCAAAAACGGGCGGTAGAGTTACTCTTGAGGCCAGTAATATCTGCAATATCCAATTAGTCATATGGGCATGACAATACATAAGAGCCGCGGAGGATACCTACAGCCTTGTTTAGTGCGTCCTCAGCTTCATCGAGATTATCTGTTTCGTCGTACAATATACTCGCGTACCGTAATCTGACCATCGCCTCGACGCGGGGCTGAAGCCGATACTGCGGGTCATCCAATCAGAATGCCCTATTCTCCCAGCGCTCCACATCATTGCCGAGAAATTACCTGTAATGCCGCCTCGAGACATCTCAAACCCGTTGCTACAAGCGCATAATACCCCCCGATGTCGTCATCCGTTCCCAGCGCCGTCTTGTATCCACTCGAGTGCGCCGCGGTGATATACGTGTCTGCGAGGGCGAGGAGTACAGAAGGCATATCTGGACCTGACGGAGCTGGTGGTTGTGGTTGCTGCTGCTGATGATGCTGCGAATAAGGAACAGGGCTGTTGGTGATCGAACGATGACTGCTACCCCCAGAATGATGTCGCATTCCCGCCGGAACAGGTGTGGGAACGGTGCCGGGCCATGGATTATACTGAGCCTGCTGCGCGCCGAGTCCGGTGTTGTAGACCTGCACCGGAGTGTGCATTCGTGTTGGGGTATGAGGGGGAACATAATATCCTCCCCCATAACTACCGCCGGCGTTGGGAGTGGACATTATCGTGTCATATGGCGACGAAATGCCTAGAGATGGGTAACTGGGTGTTATGGGCGTTGTCGCGCTTTGATCGGAGTCGGGCCTTTCGTGTGCTGACGGGGTATGTTCGTGTCGCAGCGGATCGGCGGCCTTGGTTTTAGCTACACTTGCCAAGCCGAGCTGCCGTTTACGTGACTACTTAACCTAGGTATGCTCAAGGAATTGCATGTACTATTCTCAAGCCTCAAATGGGTAGGAAGAATTGTCTCGCATAATAACTTTTTCCCCTCTTCATGATACCCGGCACCTTCTCCATAACAGCTTCCTAATTGTCCACGACACTGGGAAAAAGTTTACGTAGTTATTTGACGTTTTAGAACTTTCTCACACAGAAAAGGCACCCGATCTCTTCACCGCTCATCTGTTTACTTGCTCTCGTATAGATAGATACTACAAGTTCTTTTTCGCTACGAGAAAAAAAGGCTTGGGCATTGCCTCATTTTGCTAGTTAGAATTATATAACTTTTGGTAAAAAAGAAAAGATACTCTGATTCAGCCGGGATTTGAACCCGGGTCGGGCGCATGATGCATCAGCTGATGGCAAGCGCCCATGATACCCCTACACTACTGAATCGACGCCATAACTTAAGAATTGTCATATATAGACCATTACAAATCACGGCAGCTCTCGGGAAAGTGGAGGGAAACCTTTCGCTCTACCACATATGGTCGGCTCAATCCCCACTCCCTGCAGCCTAGAAATCCTATTTTCCATCGCGTAATTCCCTCGGTATTAGTCAAGCATTTAACCCGTCGCGTTGCCCTCTCCAACGCCAACCCACCATGTCCTCCGCCGACTCACCCCCGCAACCTCCCCCTCCTCTCCCAAAACCTAAAACCTACCTCCTAACCTCCTCCCTCACACCCCTCGGCCATGCTCTCTCCCTCCACCTCCTCTCCCAGGGCGCAACCCTCGCCGCCTGCTGCACCAGAACCGAACTAACCTCTCCCATCCTCCCTCTCCTCCGCTCCTCCGCGCCGGACCCGTCCCATCTCATCATCCTTGAACTCGATCCCATGGTTCCCAGCACTATCCAATCCGCGCTCGCCACCGCAGCAACAACCTTCGGCCGTCTCGACGTTGTCGTACACACCGGGATCCCCACCTACCTCGGCGCACTGGAAGAGCTGACACCCACAGACATCACGGGACAATTCGAGATTGGGTATTTTGGGCGGGTAGCGGTAGTGAAGAGTGCGCTTTCGGTGATGCGGCGGCAGCGGGGGGACATATAGTAGTTGTTACGGGGCTGACTGGGGCGATGGGGACGCCGGGGATGGCGGTGAGGTGTGCGGCGGACCATGCGATTGAGGGGATGTTGGATGCGTTGGCGTTTGAGGTTGCGCCGTTTGCGGTGAGGGTTAGTGTTGTGCAGCCGAGTGTTGAGGTTGCGGTTTGGGGTGGTGGGGAGGTACGGTGTGCGGAGGGGAGGGAGGAGTACGTTGGAGTGAAACAGGTTAGTGCGGTTAGGGGGATGATTGGGAGGACGCTCGGGGAGGGGGAGTTGGAGGATACGGTCAGGATTATTGCGGAGATTGCGGGGGTGGAGAATCCACCTGGACGGGTTACGGTTGGGGAGGAAGGTGTCGAGATGGTGAAGGAGAGGTTGAAGACGCTGAGTGAAGAGTTGGAGGAGTATTTGGAGGCTAGCTTGGGGGCGGATATTTCTGCGCCGCCCGGGCAGGGAGGGACTGGAGGGAGGACCAGGCCGGTGGGGATCGGGGAGGTGGATGAGTAGGATGTGTTTTTTGGATATGGATTTATGTTTTGTACGGATACCCTGACTTGTATATTATCTACGCAAGTGCTTTGCGAATTTTGGCTCAATTCCTACCTGACATCACCTGTAACAGCACCTTCGGCATACTTCCTCAGCCTTGCTTGGCCGAAGGATTTATACTTTTCACAAACCTAAAGGGGACGGCAGCGAGGATTCCCTCTCAATATGTGGCATAAGAACTCATAACACAACATCTCAACCTCCTAGGATGGGTTGTCCCCCAGATTCCGCCTTAAATATTCTACTCCGCGAGTGATGTTGCATGACTAGGACCAGACCATTCTCTAGTCAAACGCCAAAGAATGGGAAATAGTGAGTAGCGGGAATGTTTCGTGTGTACGATGAAGAGGGTGCGATATACAGCGAGCCGTAAGTATGTATTTGAAGAAGAAAAGGTATTAGTATCCGAAATATTTCAATGAGAGTTTTTGGTAATCGACGGCGAACTGGTGGGAAATTGTCGGTTTCTATATTGATTCCTCCTACAGCACCTTCTCAGCTACAACCTCCCACTCCTTCAAATCCTTCCACGTCTGGACCAACACTATCCTCCCTCCCTTCCACCCTCCCAACTCCTTCTCCCTCTCTTCTCCAACACCAACCCCAACCTTCTCCACCTCCCTCCTTACCTTTTCTAGAACCTCATCCCTTACCTTTTCCTCCTCCATCGCTGAATACACCAAGCTCACATGCGGCGTAAACACCTTCTCGGCCCACAACTCAGCCTCCCCTTCCGTCGTCCCCTCCACAAAATTTCTCCGACACTGCTTCGCGAGCGCTACCAATGATGCCGTTTTTTCCGTGTGCAGAGTCAAGCGGGTAAAGAATGTGTCCCTTTCTTTCGCATCAGCATATCCACACCCGGGAGAGGGGAGAGGGGGAAGTACCCGACATTAAGAGAGGAAAACTTAACGTCCGGCAGCCCATCGTTTGGGATGTCGATCTGGTCTAAGATCTCTTGTTGGGGATTTGAGAATCCCTCGGGAAGACGGGAGGTAAGGGTAAGGTGTGGTGAGAACGCAGGGACGCGTTCGGGGAGGAAGTAAGGCGGGAGGGAGGTGGAAATTAGGGATTGGAGTGCTGTTTCGAGTGGGGAGTTGGCGGGCGGGACGAGCCAGAGGGATGCTATACAAAATGGGCGTTAGATACGAGGGGGGGGGAGGGGGAGGGGGAGGGGAGGGTTACAGCCTAGACCCGGGTTCACGTTAGTGGGCGAAGTGGTGGTGGAGAGAGGGGAGAGGTACCTGGCATTGCGGTGATGTGTGCGGGGATTGGTGGGCTTGTCTCGAGTCCAGCCGTCAAATTTGATTGGGTGACTAACCCTAACCGCCATCGACGCACTCCAGGTAGCCGACGAGAAAAATTGGACTTGGGTTAGGTTTGGTGTGTATATGCTCGGAAATTGTTACGACTAGTCGCCTTGGTAAGGAAGAAGAAATTGGGCGAGTCTGATATTTTCCCGGGCAGATGCTTGGAATTATTCCTCAGTATCTACTGTATTTATCGCGTCCGTCGGCACCGGTGGTGTGCCCTCCTCATCCCCGCCACCGGCATCTCCTTCCCTAGCCGTAGCCTTCTTCGCCTTCTCCCTTTCCCTCTGCTTCAACTTCTTCTTCCTATTCTTCTTCATCCTCTCCTCCTTCTCCGCCTGCTCCCTTGCCTCACCCTCCAACCCCTTAAACTTATCTCTCCCCATCTGACTCTTCAACCTCGCCTCTTCCTTCTCCTTCTCCTTCTTCCTCTTAATCCTAATCTGCACCCTTCGTTTCTTCCCTGGCCTCTTCCTCTTTCCCTCTCGTGTATCTCCATTCCCGGGAATATGTATAACCTTCCACTCACACCTCGCTGCCGTCGAAACCGGTAACTTCTCCGCCAACCGGACTACATCCTCTCCGGTAATCAGCACATCCTCAAACTCAGCTCTGCGCTGCGCAATAACCGACGCCGGTAGAATCCAGTGCGATAACGGCCGCTTCTGTGTGCGTGCGAATGCATCAAACACGTCTTCTTCGGCTGGTGCGGGTGTGGGAGAGCGCAGTGTTATCCGTTGCGGTGTTGGGCCGGAAAACATTGGGAAGTCGAGCTCGAGGTCGGTTTCGGCATCTTCATCGTCGGCGACTTCGGGGGTGGCAGGAGGGATGAATTCGAGGTCGAGGTGGGTTGGAGTTGGGTCAGGGGAGAGGGTAGCGGTGGAAGAGAGGGAAGTTCGTGAGATGCGTTGTGTTTCTGGTGGGTCTGACATCTGGAGGTTGAGATTGAGATTGTTGGGGTTCGTGTGTGGTAGGTGATTCGCGATTCGGGCTAAAATAAAATAACCCCGTTTGGTTGCCGAAATTTATTTAGTGTCCCCTCATTGACGAGAAAACACCACCATCTCCCACCGTCAGCTAACTCACTCAGCAATGTCGTGTCCCCGCCACCACCACCACAATGCCTCGAATCCCTCCCTCCCTCCTCCGCCGTGCGCACCGCATCTCCCCCCTCCTCCCTCCACTCCTAAAAACCACCCGCACCCTCCCACATGCAATCCTTGAGCTTCGTTGGCTTCGCGAGCACGCCCAATCCTCCACCCACTCCAACCCCACCTCGCTCCTACACTCCTACATCCACCGTCGCGGAACCCTCTGCGAACCCCTCCAATACATCCTCGGCACGCAGCCCTTCGGCGCAACCACCATCCTCTGCCGCCAGGGTGTCCTAGTCCCTCGTGCAGAAACTGAAGAATCCGCCACCCACCTCTCCACCCTCCTTCCAAAAAACGCAAAGGTTGTAGACCTATGCACTGGCACGGGGTGTATCCCCTTACTCCTCGCTTCAGAAAAACCAGTACTCGCAGTCGGCGTCGATATCTCCCCTTCTGCGCTCTCTTTAGCAATCCAGAACTGGACGCATAACCGCTCAGTACTGAAGCCCACGTCGAAGGTGGAGTTTATTGAGGGGGATGTATTGGCGTCGGATATAGACGAGTTGGTGTATTCGATTTATGCGTGTTTCGACGAGATTGATCCGCTGCTGCGGGAGGATGTTGATGTAGTTGTTGCGAATCCGCCGTATATTTCCGCTGGGGGTTATGCGCGGGAAACGGCTAGGAGTGTGAGGCTTTGGGAGCCACGGCTTGCATTGGAAGCGGAGGAGGACGGGGATGTGTTTTATCCACAGATTGGAAGGATTGCGTGGGCACTTGGGGCGAAGGCGGTGGTTGCTGAGGTTGGCGGGTGGGAGCAGGCAGAAAGGGTTAGGAAGTGCTGGGAGGGCATGGGGTGGAGTGGGAGTACGGTTTGGAAGGATTTTGCGGGGAGGGGAAGGACGGTTGTTGCGTGGAGGGAGGGCGGGGAGTGGGTCGTGAATGGTCCGAATCTATGACCGTGACGAGCGCATGTTGATAGTGTACAGTAAGTAGCAAGAATCATATCATAATAACGCAAAACAGAAATAAAGCTGCAGCCACAGCCGCGCTGCGCATCCCCATATCCACCGCACAGAGCAAAACAAAACAAAAAACAAAGAAACCGCTTACAAGCCCACGCTCCCAAACCCGATCCGATCTATCCCGCGCGCCCGCACAAGCAAAGAAAGCAGCCCTCCTCACCTCCTACAACAACGTCTCCCTCTCCGCCTGCGCCTGACTTTTAAGTTCCTCACCCTCTCCCTGCACTGGTGACCTCACTACCCTTTCCCCCTCCTCCTCCCCCTCCTCATCACTATCTCTATAAACCGCAAACCCATCCTCCAAATCTCTACTCAGCCGCTCATTCCACTCCGCAGGATCTTCATCAAAGTCCTCACTAGGCAG